TCTATCTATCTATCTATCTATCTATCTATCTATCTATCTATCTATCTATCTATCTCCCCAGGAGGAAGGCTAGGTTGAAGGTAGGGAGGTACAGCACAAGGTTCTTTTGTCTTTGTTTCTACCTGCCTCTCACACTTGCCCCAGATCAGAGATCTAAGTTGGGTAGCTCAGCTTAATGCATACGAAAGGAATACAGGTTGGTTAAAAGTACATTGTCTCCTCCCAATTTTAGGACCTATGTCAGTATGTTAGTGGAAAAATTAGGTCAGATCTCCCAGTATAGTAACTAGTGTCTTGGGTACTTTTCTTGCCATAGTTTCAGAGACATCTCTTCAATCCATAGTTTTGCTATTTTCTCCCTCTAGTAGAGATTTACAAAGAGGAAAATCAAAGCACAGAAAAAGAAGAGGATTCAGGGTAGGGTCAGGGGCCAACTCTAGATATATTCTCTCTCTCTCTAAAGATCTAGTTCTGTTCACCAGGGATTGGGGGAGAATTGTTAGGGAAGGGGTAGCTTCCCCTATCAGAGGAGAAGAGAGATTTCTAGGTAAAAAGTATGGCATATTGTTATTGGAAGATGGAAACACCGAATGGGTTAATATCTTGAGAAGGAAGTGGGGTCCCTGAGTGTCAAGATGATCCCTTTCTGGCAGACTAGGGGGACAGTGGCTGGGGAAAGGGTGGCTTACATGTCCGTAGCTTCACTGGTCGTCAGTAATTGCAGGGAGAGTCCTAGAAAGATGATTGCAATGCTAGAACTCAGGGTCTGGAGATGGTACATTCTGAAAGACACAGAAAATGCTATCTAAGAGAATTAGGGTACTAACCTAGGGCCCTCTATTTATACCTAGAAAAGTATGGTAGGGCAACTGTTGGGCAGACAACTAGCCAATCAGACTCAGACTCGTACTCTGGCTCCTACTGATCTATGCTTGTCTTCACCAGGTTTGTTTTTCTATACAAAAATGCCTTCATTCAGCACAGGTGAAGTGGCACTGCCCTGGAAGGGAGGAGTTGAGCAGTTCTTCCTTGTTTTGCAGCATTGGAGAGTGTTCAAGCTCAAAATGGTTAAAGAATAAAATAAAATAAAATAAAGATAAAAGAATAAGATGTTTCCTCACTTAGCCCACATAAGTGGAGCTCTCTCCTTGTTGATATCAAAGTCTACAGTACATGTGGGGTAGCAGATTGGGTACTAGATTGCAAGTTAGGGAATCTGAGTTCTTGTCTTGGCTCTATCACTTACTAGCTGTCTGTTACTTTAACTCTATTGGTCTCAGTTTCTTCTGTAAAGTGAGAATTACCTTTAAGATGGCAGAGTAGAAAGCAGATAGGGGAGCTGGCTCTGCCCAAATGCCCTCAACAAAATAGAAATCTTATCACTTCCCTTCTTCCTACTCCCACTCTTCCTTCTTTCACCGAAAAAAGTGAAAAGAAATGGAGAATTCAATTGAAAAAGGAAAGGTATGCTTCCTGTAGCTGTTGCAAATAGAGGCACACTCATGCTACACTGGAGTCCTTGAGTTTCTATGATCTTCTCATCTCTTGCCCTAATGTGTTACCCCACTCTGGCAACCCTACTAAGACTTCCTATCTTTCTGCCTGTCTAGGGTTGGGGTCTATGAGCTGCCAATGCTTTCCCTTGTTCTGTCTCTTATGATCATTGATAGATCATTGATTTAGAGCCGCAAAGGATTTCAGAGGCCATCTAGGTCAACACTTTCCCTGCCTTCCTCCCCATTTGTAGATGAGGAAATGACAGCCTAATGTCACACAAGTAGTAGGCGTCAGAGGTGAGATCTGAAGCCAAATACTTTGACTCCAGAGTCAGGGCTCTTTTCACTGTGTTGTTTTACCATTTCACACATTGGCTTAGGTTTATCAGGCATAGAGTCACTAAAAATAGATTTACTGTTACATCCCACTTATGGTACATATCCCACGGAGCCGTTCAACCAATTTCATGCTGATTATAGCCTGGAGAGTGCCTCTGAAATTTGCTATCTGAGAGGAAGTGAGTCATCTTCCCAGACCCATGTCTAACCAGCACCCCAAGGAGTCCTTGGCTCAACACCCACCTCAGAGCCTGAACAAAGTCAAGTAGAATTCCTGATGCTGCCAATTAGCACCTATCATAACAGTGGAAAGTTTCTCAGCCTCTTCAGCTTAGGGTTTTAGAGAGGAGATTCCCCATCCATTCTCCATTCCATGCATCTCACCAAAGTCCATATATTTACTTAGGCTTATAAAAAAAACAAACAGTAGGGATTCCCTCCTCTCTGACCCTGGCAGGGATTTCATGCTCTCCAGCATGGAAAATGCCTATGGGAGAAGAATGGCATTAAATTAGTATAAACACAGCTAATCAAAGGAATCAAGTGCTATTTTTTTTAAAGAGGAGGAATGGAGAGAAATCATACAAAAGAATTGAATGGAGGCAAACAAAAGCATAATAATTATAACCATAAGTGTGAAAGCCTCCAATAAAAAGAAAGAGAATTTAGAATGGGTAAGAAAACAGAGCCCAATAATTTTTTTTTGTATTTAAGAAGTGTATCTTAAAAATAAAAACACAAAATACAAATGGGGTGGAGTGTTGTTTATCTGTCATGTCCAATCTTCGTGACTCTGTTTAAAGTTTTCTTGGTGAAGATATTGGAGTGGTTTGCCATTTCCTTCACCAGCTCATTTTACAGATGAGGAAACTGAGGCAAACAGAATCAAGGGTCTTGCTCAGGGTCACACAGCTAGTAAGTGAGGCTGGATTTGAACTCAGGTCTTTTTGATTCCAGGATTGGTGCTCTAATCACTGTGCCACTCAGCTGTCCCGAGAGTGGGATAGGCTGGAACAAGACTTAATTTATAGGTCAGGAGATTTTTAAAAAGCTGGAGTTGCAATCATGACTCCAGACAAAGCAAAAATAAATATTCAAACTGTCGAGAGAAAGAAACAAGAAAGTCACACTGTTATTAAAAACATTATAGACAAGGAAACAATATCATCATTAAATATATGAACTGAATGATATTGTCTCTAAATTCATAAAAGAAAAGCTAATTAAATTGCAAAAAAGACATTGTTAATAAAGTAATAATTGTGGTAGACTTGAAAGTTTCTCTTTCATAGCTGAATGTATCTGACCAAAAGGAAAATATAGCAATGAGGAGATTTAGAAAGATTAGACTTCAAAAACATGGTTCTATTGAATGAGCATATTAAAATATATTTTTGTAGCTGTTGCTCAGTCATTTCAGTCGTGTTAGACTCTTTGTGACCCCACTTGGCAAAGCCACTAGAGCGGTTTGCCATTGCCTTCTCTAGCTCATGTCACAGATGAGGAAATTGAGGCAAACAGGGTTAAGTGACTTGCCCAGGCTCACACAGCTATTAAGTGTCTGAGGCCAGATCTGAATTCAGGAAGAAGAATTTTCCTGATTTTAGGCCCAGCACGCTTTTCACTGCAATTCCTAGCTGCCCATTACAATACATACATCATTTTCATTGTAACTCTTCCCATATGAATGTTGCCATGCAGATGGTTCAATAGGAGTGTCTGTTCCTATACATTTTACCCAGTGTTCCTCGAGTTTTTTGGCCTGAGGAAAGAACTTCCTTCCACAGAGAAACCATATAGCTGAGAGGAAAAGAAGCTATGTGGAGAAATGGAGTATGCAAGAAGGTGGGGAGAGATAAGATCAGATGGGTCAGTAAGAGTGGCCTGGAGAAGACTGCTCGACAGGAACCAGAAGCAGCTGAACTTTGATTAATTGCAATGATCTATCATGGTCCTAGAAAGGAAGTGTTGCATAGTGGAAAGAGTACTGGCTTTGGAGTCAGAGGACCTGAATGGAAATCCCACCCCTGACACATACATACTACCTGTATGATCCTGCTTGTCTGGGCTTCTGTTCCCTCAGTTATGCAATGATAGAGTTGGACAATATCTTTTCTGAGTTCCCTTCCAATTCCTGTTCCATTGTCCTATAAACTATAAGGAGAGACATAGAGAATGTGCTAAAACCATAGGAGAATGCCCAGTCTTTGGGGGCAACAAGATACTGATGAAATGTAACTCTCTTCTGTTGGTAGAGAGATGGGGGACCATGGGATTGAAATGTGGCATACTCTGTCATCATAGTTGATTTTGCTTAACTGTGTTACAAGGGAGTGTTCAATTGGCATATATGTTAGAGGAATAGGAGGGGTAATATTGAGATATGGTTGGTAAAAAAACAAAAAAAGCATCAATAAAAAGTAAAAATAAAACATTTTACTGACACAAGAAAAATAAATGATTAAGAAATCATAGATCTAGGAGTGGCAGAGATCTTAGAAGCCATTGAGTCTAATCTTCTCAATTTGCAGATGAAGAAACTGCATCACAATGAAGTTAAATGACTTTCCCAGGGTTATGTAGCTAGTAAGTGTATGAGTGGAATTTAAACCCAAATTTTCCTGGCTCTAAGTCCTGTGCCCTATGCACTATTCAACACTATCTCCCTAACAGAAGTTTTATAATAAGTAAAATCAGAAGGAACTGCCACAATCAATCATGGATACAGTCCTTTGGCAGAGATATAAAATCTTTTGATTGGCCAGGAAGCTAAAAGATGTCATTGCATCTCCCTCAAATTTTTCTTGGTATACTCTTATTCATTATCCCTAAACAATAGAAGCACAATGTTTTCAATGCCCTGAAAGATTTGGGTAGTTTCTTCCTAAAATGCTATGTTTAACCACTAACACCTTTTGAATACAAAAGCTCTCCAGGTAATGTTATATGATTGCATGTTTTGGAATACTTCAACATTTGAGGAATCAAAATTTCAGGGGACCCAAAGAGCCATATAGAGACATATGATGGGCCCAAGAAGACTGTAGAATATATCCAATGATGACCTACAAGCAAGGTCAAGTATGTGAAAACTTCCTCAGTGGAATGGACGGATGAGAACATTCTTTTCCCCAATGACCATGAAGGTGGCTGAAGAAGGCATTGTAAACACTTAGAGCTTGATCAAACATTGAAGATGCCAAGGTCATCCACCACATCCTGAGTCATTGACGGTTATCTTGACTTTTGTGTTGGGACTGAACTTCAGTGACTCTGGAAAAGAGAATGAGACTAATGACTTGTGCAACTCTGCCTCACTTAAATGCAATTCACTTGCAAGTCAAGACATTACCTGTGATGCCACTGGTCCTCTTGAAAAATGAAGGACAAACAACAAAAAGCAATGAGCAAAGGGTGTTATAGGTTATGTCATAGAGAACTATGTGGTTGGAGAAGGAAGTGGGTCAGTCACATGGCAAGAATGATTAAAAACAGATAGATAGCATCTGTACTGGTATCCAGGAAATGTAAAAAGGCCAAGAGGAAGTTGGAGCTTCTGTGGAAGATCTAAAGAACATGGACAAAAATCATAGAGGAGAAGGCATGAATGGGTAGTAATCTGCATTGATGAGCTCACAGATTCATTGAAGAAGCTGTGTTTTCATTCATCAGCTGGATAAATTGAGCAATTTTACTGCCTGATTTTCTGTTCTGAATGCCTTCATCCCTTGTAATAGACTGACTAATGATTGGATAGTGGACCAGCTGTAAGGATCGAATGAAACAATGATTCAGAACATGTGAGTTCATTAAAAAAGACAGGTTTTAGGCTGGGGTGGTAAATTTCACTTGGTAATCTGGAACTCAAATTTGCCATATTCTTAAGGTAAGGAAGGGAAATTAATTTTCTTCTTTGTGCCTTTCATTTATAGCCTCAGTCCAAACT